TTTATAGAATGGATCTTGTAAAATGTTAGTGACCTTTTTTAAACCATCTGAAACCATGCTTGCCATTGCATTAGTGAAAATAATTACTCTCGTATGGGAAATACATGTGAAGTACTTACTAAATAAATTCATTTCCTGTTTCAGACACTGTGGCAGTTCTTTACATATATCAAACCTTATGTTCACAAAAGTCCTAAAGGAATTATCTTTTAATTTCCACAACAAGAAAACTTGGGCTTGCCAGAGTTATGGAAACTTGTACCCAAGTCCAGGTGGGCAGTAAATGGAAGATAGGAAATTTGGAACTTATGCCTATCTAACTCTAAAACCTGTGATATTTCTAGCACAGCAATTTACTGAAATTACTAATATGCACTGGCTTTGTAGTGCAATTTACCTTCTGCAACATAGGCAATAATGTAAAAACATTAATTATTAGGTATATTACTTATTTAGGAAAAATATATACTTATTAGGACACCAGTTATTAAATATAATTTAAATCCTATAATTATTAGTCATGTAGACACATTTGAAACTGAATTTCAAGAAGCAAGTAATCATAATGTCTGGGGAATAATATTTTTTTCTACCAGCTAACTTGACAGTAGAAATGGATGTTTACTCCAATTAACTTACCATTTCTTTCTTCCCTGCCTTAAACAGAGAATAGTTATATTTTAGTCATAATGATCAATGGCATTAAAGGCAGCATAGATATATATTTTTCTATAGCATTTCTTTAGTTGTCTACTCATAAAATGTCTACATATCATGCAAAAATTTTAATTCCATTACAGAAAAACAGATGGTCAAAGGAAAAAAAGAATATATACCTTGCAAACAGAAAGATGAACGAATCAAAATAAAAGAAGTGGATTGGTGGCACAATCTACTTGGCACAATTTGTGCCAAGCACAAATAAACAGCATTTTAATTCAACAAGAAGATAATAAATCACAAGTAATCTTTTACTAAGTTTTACTTATTTTACAGAAAAAATTTGGTTGTTTTATAGAAAAGAATCACGACTGAAAAAGAACAATCATGGCTGTAAAGATAACTGCTAGTGTAATTCTAAAATAAAGAGATGACAGTTGCATTTTATTTAAACTTGCCAAGGTAAGATTTTTGAAAAAATGTGCTAGCCTCCAATAAAATGCAACATGTAAAAATTCTATTAAACAGTTCTAGAAGTGGTTTTCCACTTTGTTTCCTATGAGTACAAAGATGGCTGATTTAGAATCATGCTCACTAAGTTCATGCAAGCTTGAAGGAAAATTAGTTAAATATATATAATCCATATCTAAATTTAGAGAATACGTAAGTGCAAATAACTCTGTGTATCAAATACATGCTAAAATGATTGTCAAAATTAATAAATCTTGAAGTAATATTGAAGTAATTCATTAAATTAAAAGGTTTTTATCTAAATCTTCAAGCTGTGTGTTTCTATTTCTTACTCTCAATTAGTAAGAAGTATTTAAAAGATACCAGACTTAATATTTAATTTTGGTAGGCACAGTAACCTTTTTTAACCTTTCTTAGGGAACACTGACCCCTAAAGGTTCTAAATTTAAATAAGTTTTACAAATTTCTAAATTTAACTGGACCAAGCCTTCAGTTTAACATATATTATTGTAAGTATGTATACTTATGATAGACTTTTTATTCATACATAACAAATACACTACTTACAAAGGATTGTTGTACTATAAAACCACTAGACCATGCTTCTGTTAATACAATCCATCAAAAGTAATATAAGAAATATTCAGGAATTTATAACACTATTTCAAATAATTATTTATTAAGAGACCTCTGACAGAACTTAATGCCCTTTTTCTTACATAGCTGAATAATTAAGTATAATTGTTCTTGTACTAGGAACCCCAGCAGACACTGAAATCTGCAGGTGTTCCATGCCCTTAAACAAAATGGTGTATAATTTGCATATAACCTACTCACAAAACTTCCAAATACTTATAATGCATAATATCATTTACATACTTGCTATACAGCATTGTTTAGGGAATAACTATAAGAAAAAAGTCTATACATGTTCAGTACAAACACATTTTTTCCCAAATGTTTTACAGGTTTGGTTGGCTGAATTCTTAGATATGGAATGTACAGATATAAAGGGCCAATTGTAAATGCTAAAGAGCCTAAGCAATCAATCATACAATAACCTTCTTTCTGTGGTTGACTTTAAATAACCATAAACTCCTCTGATTATGATATTTCATGTTACTTCTTAAAAAGACAGATAAAAGAGAGTCCTTAAAAATATAAAGTTTTCACAAAAAAGGCAAAACACCATTTAATTCTTAAGAGGCCAGAATATGGTACCAATGCTTATGTGTCAATACACAGTCATACTATGTTGTTTCTATCAACTTAAAATAGAATACATTCATTCAGGGTTGTGTTTTAACTATTGAAAGAAATTTGGATACATTTTCTAAGACGTTTATAATGATAACAAAAAATGTAAATGATTGTATGTTACATTAACTGCTGCCTTATCAACTCTTTTGACTTGAAATATCTCAACAATTTTTATAATAAATTCAGGAAAAGAATGGCCACTTCAGCACTCCTTATAATGAAATTTAAGATAACACGAAGGCATAATGATATAATAAATTTTTTTATTGGTGTAATTACTTTTAAATATAGTAAAATAATATTAAATAACTATTCACAAGAAAAGACTATGAACATTTGTGTCAGATAGAACTTTGAAGCAATTTGTTTTGAAATAAATTCCATGAATCTTGCTATCAAGACGACTGTGTAAGAGTTTACTGTTGAAACATATCAGTTATCACAACACCTCAAAAGATACAATTACCTATTTAAATTTATTTCTTCATAATGTTTAGTAATATTTTCTTATAAAAGAAATGTCTCACCTCTATTTCTAATGATAAAAATTCCCATAAAAATGTGAAGATTCTTAATTATGTTTCGGTCCCATCTGCGGTGGTCTGTGCCTCTTACAAACTATCAAGGTATCTGTGTTTTCAAGTCTAAAACCTTCCTTTCCATAAGTATCCCAGAGCTTTAGTGGCTCCTTCCTTGACATCCTTCTGGGTTATTGTTCACTTCTGAAAAGTACTTTCTCCATAGACTCTGTCTCTTTAGCTATATTAAAAATAATTCCCTTGGTTCCTTAAAAATCCTTTGGTCTCTAATTTGAAGAATATCACTTTCACAGCAATGTACCTGTGAATAATGAGCATAAACAATAGGCACATCACTATTGGCTTACTTTTCTTATTTTGTACATAAATTGAGTAGAATGCCTTTGAACTCTTCAAAAGAAGGTTGCTTATTTACTTGAATAAAAATGGCTATAGTGAATTAGTTCCCGGCTTCACTACTTTCTTATCACAAACTTGAATGTATGTGTGAACCAAAAGTCAGTGCCACATAGTCCATGCACTAAAACTATTAACCTTATATTTAAAAACCTACTCAGATATTATGTACTACTGCTTTAACCACAATTCAGTCAGTTTTCTGGATCCTAAACTCATAAAAAGCAGCCCAGAGTCCCAGAAGGGAAATTACTAGTGCTAGCATAAACAGAAAGTCTGTATCTATGGAAATCAGAAATAAATGCAAAAGTCAGAATAAAAAGTATTCATAAAGTATGGCATCTTTCTATACCTCAAATAAATATGTAATTATTAACTTATTTAATATAATGATTATAGACCAGTACTTCAAAATAGCTTTTAACCTTCTTTTAAAAAAAAAAGTAACAATGTACTTGATAAATACTGAAAAAGTGCCTTTGGGGAGAAAGGAAGCCAGGAGAGGGAGATTGTACAGTAGCTTAGTAAGAATCCTATTTTTCAAGTGATAAAATTGAGAGGAAACTTTTAAAAAGTATATAAAGGTGTAAGCCTTCAACTATATCCTTTCCCAAAGATTCCACATTTTCAATATTTTACTGTAACATATCTTAAATCCTCTCTACTGGTCCCATACTAAGCAATACAGTGTTTTCTCTTGCACACATTCTCTTTCTTCTTTCAGGCCATCTCTGTCTCTGTCTTTAGGCTGCCTTTCAAACTGTATTTCTGTCTCTGACTCTGGGCTTCTCAGGCTGTGTCCCTCTGTGTAAGCATACCTGTATCTTTGCTGTCCCTCCCTGTGTCTCTTTCTGTCCCACAAAGTCTTTGTCTCCATCTGTACATCTCTGCATATTTGTCTCTGCAACTCTGACTCTCTGGCTCCCTCTGACTCTGTCCCTGAATGAGTGTCTCCCAGTGTGTTTCATGGTGTGCATGTGTTTCAGTATCTCTGTGTTTCTCTCTCTCGTTCTGTGTATGTTTCTGTCTCTTCCACTTGGGATGTCTTTTGTCTTCTCTTCTCTGTGTTTCTATGTGCCTCTGCCTGTGCCACTGTCTCTCTTGGTGTGTCTATTTTTCCTATGCCTCACTGTGCACCTCTGCCTCCTTCTCACTATGTTTCACTCTGGTATCTTTCTTTTTCTACGAGTCCCTATGTATTTCTTTCTGTGTGCCTCCATGTGTGTCTGTGTCTTTGTATATGAGTGTCTGGACCTCTGTATGTCTCCCTTTCCAGGTTTCTTTGTTTCTCTAAGTGTACCTATGTAAATCTTTCTCTAAGTGTACCTCTGTGTGTGTCTCTCTCAATCATTCTCTCAGCCATCTGGGTTTTTTTTGTATATAGAATTTGCTTCTTTTCCTTTTCCTTCCTCTATCTTTTTCTGTTTCTTTCTCTGTGTGCACATTATGTTACTCTTTTTCGCTCACTTTATTTCTCTATCTACCTCTATATCTTTGTGTCTCTTCTGTAATAGATGTATCTCCGTGTGATTCTCCTTTGTGTGTGCGTGTGTTACGCATGTGTGCACGCACTTGTCTGTTTCTAACATATTAGTTAGAACAAACATACTTCATTCAGTGCCTTGAACTGCCACAACACCTGGGGCTTGGTATTAATACCTTAAAAGTCCTTACCTTTTGACCAGTCCTCCATTTGTACTTCTGTTCTTATTTGCTCTGGCAATGTCTCTGGATTTTGCTCCACGATTGAAGCTAAAATAAAGGCGAGTCAAGACAAATAAACTTAAAACAATACATCAGAATGCACCTAAATTCTTTGTTTCACAGAGAATTTACAGGATAATGGTTTTCTAAAACACTTATAACAGAATAATTAACTATGTTATTTCAAGAGTTGAGATTAAATTTTTTTTTCAGAAAAATGTTTTCTTCGCAGGTAAATTTTTATAAACTTTTAGACATTTTTGCTTCTGTGGTTACAGAACATTTAATTTACCTAACTTAAATCTTCTCCAACTATAACCCACACATGTAAGAAAATTTCTCTATGTTATAAATTTTATACCCAAACTTCAAATATATTGACTTGAATTTACTATGTATGTATGCATATAAATATTTTAGCATAAATAAAAGCAATTTAAGATTGCTATTCTAATTTTTAAGATAACATAAAGCCATCATTAACTTATAGAATTACTGGTATTTCTCTCTTGCATTTGTTTTAATGGTAAATATAGTAAGAGCTATGCAAGTTTTCTTTTTTTTGGAATGGCTTTTAAGGAGAATAAAATTAGATTTACCTCACAGCTAGAACCCTGAGTTCTTTCAAAAGTCCTCAAATAAAGCTGTAGTAAGCTTCTCCTTTTCCAATTTTCTCTAAATATGTTGATCTGGAGTTGGCAATCTTTTTCTAAGTTCCTCATTTACTTTTGGATTAGCTGAAAATATAGGAAGTTATTAATATCAAAGAAATATGTTCCAGTCAATGAAGCCATTTCCCTACATATTGCCCAAAAAGGTTAATAATAATTGCAGTATTTTAATAAGAGATTCATATAGCAAGACATGTAGAAAATACATTCTTTAATAACCTCTGGAGTATTTTAAAACATGTCTTATAGGCCTTAATGTGCTTAGTAATATACTATTTAAAACCATAATTTTATCCCTCTGCAATATACAGTCACTCTTCCTCATCATTTACCCAGCTAATGAATGCCAGCAATTAGTAAAATGTAATCCCATTGCACAATCATTTTAATGCTTTTAGCACTCAGAAAAGTAAACACCAAATTAATACTGCTCAAGCCATATCAGATCCTAGTTGGAAGCAAGCAATTATAGTTCAGCTCCTCAGGTGTAATTAAATGATTGGAATGATTTAGTTCCATAAATGCAAGTTAATTCATAAGCAAGCAACAAATATACTGGGAGTAATTACAAGAAACATTGACAGTCTAAGCAGGGCAAATTCTTTTATTAGCCTCATGCAGTAAAATGCTGCCCTCTCCTGGGCATATAAGTGAATACCTTAGAGCCTAACAATCCCACAACAAAAACCAACTTTGAAAAAACCTCTAGACAAAATAGCAATAAGTAACATATCAACTTGATTTTATTCTTCATATCACAAGCCTAATGTATGATTTATTATGTGTTAATTTACATATACCTACACAATTAAATAAAGCTCTGAATCAGGATCACAAATAGACCTCTGAGTCAGGGTCCCAAATATAATAGGCGATTCCTAAACTTTAAGTGAAACCAAATAATGCTCATATAACAGACTGTGAGTTAAACTTCTAGTACCCAACTAGATTGCCAGTTAACACTTATGATCTCTCAATGGTAAGACCTAGCTGGACCATTACATATAATAACTGGGCTATGCTTCCAAAAGTAAGATTTGAATGAAAAATGTAAAATGACAGAGTACTTTACATAGACTCCTAAAATTGTTTTTTAATAAATGTCAATAATAACAACAAAAGTTTAAGCGCTGGTATATCTGCCATTATAAGAATATTTTAAAACATAAAGAGTAACAAGCACCTCACAAAATTAAAATGTGTATTGTTCTCAAGGAATTCCCAACTCTTAACTTTCTTAAGCTAATATTCAGCATGAGTTTACCTGTGTACTATTCAGATGGTCCTTAACTTTTCATAATAAATTTCCAAAAGGTTGTTATATTTTTAAGTTATGCTACAATCAATGTTTGTGTTTAAAACATGCATTTGTGACACAAGTCCTAATCAGTATTATCCCTCTATCCTTCTGTAGAACATGTTCTTCAAGAAAGTACTACAATTTGCACAACAAATGTTTACTTCTTCAATAAATGTAATGGCACTTGGAAAACATAATGCTTAACACTATACCAGTACCTTTTGGGTCAGAGAAAGCATTAAATTAATAGCTTCCTAATTTGATTTCAAAGGCATTAAAATAACCATATGCTAAGTCATATCGTGTTTAAACTATAAAAATAAAATATATCAAAATATATAAAACTCCTGTCACTAAGTTTAAAATGTACAGCACATTTCCTTTGCCCTTGATGTCAGAGTCTTATTTTTCAATTCATATCTTGTACACTGTAAGTTAATTGCTTTTGGAAAGTACTTATTATTCATGTAAAAATTAATGTGCCAATGTATTTAAATCCTCTTAAATGACCATTCATGCATCTTTCTTCAAGTACCACTGAAATCTGTCAAAAGGCATCAATGCAAAATGATCTTAAAGAAAGTTCTAATAGAGATTTTTTTCTAACACAAGATTTTCATATTCACCAACTTTAGTTAAAATCCATTAATTTTTTAAGCTACTTTTAATAAATTCACCAAGTAAAATTTTTAGGCTCCATAGTCTGTCATTTGTGTTCCAGCTGACATTATGAATATTAATAACAGTGTTATCCTGATTAAATAGGCTTCATATGAAATCCCTGTGAATCCTATAGCTCAGACATCTCATTTTTCCAACTCTTTATGAATTTGGATTCAGACATTAAACTGGAAAAATCTTAAAACACAGATTTAATGGCACATTTGCATATTCTTAAGCAAAAAATTAGATGTTTTAGTGACCTAAGCAATTAAAACATATATCTGCATATTATACTAAGTGTACATTTCTGTAAATAAGCAACATATTTTACTCTTCTATCCTCTTTAGGACAAAGGCTTAAGGCTAATAAAATACTGATTCTTGTCTTTACCTTATGGATTTGATATCAAGAATTTACTTTCAGTAAAAAATAAATTCATATAAAACTAATAGGATGATTTTATATTAGACAATCAAATAAGCTGGGCTTCCTAATTAAAATGTTAACTTATTACAGATAAAGCAAGTTAACTGCTTTATTACTACTAATCTATACTAGGTAAGTATGATATATTTGATATATTATAAGAACTTTTGTAAATGTCATAATGCACCCAGCACAATAAAAAAAAGAAGCAAAATCAATTTTTAGCTAGAATTTATAAATATGGTAAAGGTCAGCTGTTTTAAAAAATTAAAATAAAAGCCAACATTGTATAACATATTAGCATCTGTTACATTAAAATCTTCTCTATCACATAATCTAACCTCAATACTCCAAGTTATTTTTAATTCTCAAAGGAACAGAATTATATTATGCAGAATAAGATAAAACTAAATAAGCAAGCTGAATAACCATTTCTCTCTCTAGGTATATGGAAATCTCAAAATATATGACAAAGTTTCCTATATTTACTCATTAAAAAGTGTAGACTGAAAAAATTTAAACAAATATCTCTGTGTTCTCAAATGTGACTTCACTCTCCTTATTTACTCAGCATTGAAACACTTCATGAAAATAAAATTTATTCTTTGACCAGACTAAAATGTCTAATTTGCTTTAAAAAATCTTAAGTAATTCTGACACTTAGCCTTTAAAATTAAATAATGACATTTCATAGAGAAGCATTTAAAAATGGGATTTTTATTCCCCAATGTAACAGCACCCAGGATTTTTTAAAGCTTATCTTAAATATGAGATGAAGTTCCTGGAAGCTGGCAAAAGAAGACGAAGTTCAGAAAGCCTAAGGGATAGCAACATAGCTATTAAAATTGAAAATGTACATGGTATTTGACCCTACAGTTCCAAAAGTGAAAACAGTTATAAAATATTAAAATGTATTTTTGTAACATAATAGTCACTTAAGTAGTACTGGTTTTAAGAGCAAATACTTATGTTTCAGTCATACTGGACTTCTGTTGCTCAAACACACCAAACATATTCTGGCCTCAAAGCTTTTACACTTGTTATTCCCTATGCCTAAAAGTCTCTTTGGACCTAAACTATTTTTCTCATCATTCAGTCCTGGTTCAGAAGTTATCTGGCACAGGCATCTTATCTAAAGCAAAAGAAATTATTCTCTCGTCTCAGCTGCACCACTGCCTTCATGAACCTGATTTTGTTTAGGTTTTATTTCCTTGTTTTGGACATTTCTCAGACGAGTCTGTACATGAAAGTTATATGTAAACACAACCCTTGATTTTCTCCTTCATCTCCCTATCTTTAGAAGGCTGTATGGCATAAAGTAAGTCATCAGTATATATTTGACAAACACATTAGTAGATGGACAGATAGAGGGCCAGATGATAGCTAGGACAGTACTAACATAAATGCCCATCAACAGAGAACTAGCCAAATAATATGTGGCCCAACCATATAGTAAACCTATTTGGTTTATACTATAAATGGAAAAGATACATGTTCTACGTATGGAAGCTTCTTTCAACAAATATTTGTTAAACAGCTATATTCTAGCTGTTTAGAACATACTCTAGCTCTAGGAATTTGATGTCAATGATGAATAAGACAAATAGATTTCCTATACAGACATATTCTTAGTCAAAAATGTGGATGCAAAACACAATTTTAAAACAAAACAAGTGTAAAATTATACTTACATTTGCATATATGCTTGGATAGGTACAGTATTTTTTCCAGATGGATAGATAGGAACCTATTCCTAGTAAATTATTCTGAAGAAAGGACCTTAGAGCTAGGGTGGGGAGATTGAGTGAAGAAAAGAAACATTTGTCTTTCACTTTCTAACTATATGTGTAATTTTTTTTTTGCTATGTGCCAGTATTATTTTAATTTATTAATTTAATGCTTATAAATAACTTTGGAGCTTAGTCGGAAACCTTAGGACTTTACAATTGAGAGATCCAACATGAATAGAAAGAAAGTGATCTTTAATGACTTTTAAAATCTTGAAGAAAGTATTATTGTCTAATTTGCCATTTATAATATGTGGTTCTTACTGCTTGCTTTCTTGAGCTAGAATGAGAAGCTCAAAATAAATCAACACATCTGGCAAGAAGTTTTTGGAAGAGATAAGCACAAAATGTATAGAATCTCTGAGAATTCAACAAATATTTCTGGAAATCCCATTTCTTAATTCAATTAAGGGCTATTTAAAATAATCTCAAAGTTTAAGGGTGTGAAGTTTAAAAAATTCATAATGGAAATATTTGTCCTATGTTATGACTATTTGTATCTGTTACAGATAATTCCTCTTTGATACACTACTTTAGTGATCAAGAAATTACTATCAAAAAGACTATTTCCCATCACTGAAAGTTATAGCAATGGAAAATTTATGTGTCAATTTAACAAGGTCAGCTATTTGATCATGTACCAATCTAAGTGGGTCCTGAAGGTGTGTCTGGATAAGAATAATATTTGAATCAGCAGATTGGGACTTCTTTGCCTAATGTGAATGGACCATGCAGTCAGTTGAGGGTCTGAAGAGAACAAAAAGTCTAGCCTCTAGAAAGGGAGAGGGAGCTTCTGCCTGACTGCCTAAGGCTGGGACATCAGTTCTTTCTGCCTTCAGACTGAAATTTCAGTTTTGTCAGAGCTTAAGACTGTTAGTCTTCAGACTGGAACCACATCACCAGCTCTGCTGGTTCTCAGATCTTAAGACTTAGAATAAAATTTATCATCAGCTTTCCATGGTCACCAGCTTACTGGCTGCAGATCTTGGGATTTGCCAACCTCCATAATTGCACAAGCCAATTTATTTCAATAAATTATGTGTGCGTGTGTGCACATATGCACGCACATGTAGAAAACCCTAACTAATTGTCATGGAAGGACATCAAATTAAGAAATAAATAAGTATGGTATTTCAAATATATGTATAATTTCCACATTTTCAAACTTTGCCTGATAAAACAATATGCCATTTTAAATATTGCAATAGCCTTCACTGCAAGTTGCAAATTACACTTGAGAATGGATATAAAGTGGCACAGCTTATTGGTTAAAAAAATAGGCAAATTTTTAAAACTAGTATTATTTTCAGAAGGCTAATCATATATTAGTATTTTATAAAATATCTTGAAACGTTTTGCCCTAAGCCAAACTAAACTAAATCACTTAATCTAGCACAGACAGAATATAAAAACAAAATTAGCTTATAGAATAGTTTCTCCAGGGAACAAATAGCCTGTTTTCTTAAGATTCATGCGGGTGCCAAGTTCTGATGCAATGACTACTCTTGCACACAAAGGCATACATTTTCACACAACCAAACAGAAGTTCTTGGCAAATCAAAGGTAAAAAGAAAAAGTATCAGAGCAAGTTAAATCAATCTATAGTGACAACTGTTAAGAGCAGCCACTTGAAATCAAATAAAACAATAATTACTAGAAAATGTCTTTCTAAAATAAAGTAAAAATAATTATGTAAAGTCCTTAGTTGATCATATATCATAATGTTAATAAGATTTTCTCTACAAATAAAATTCATTTAATACTTTTCTGTAGTTTAACAATAATACTAACAAAGAGAGACAGTAGGCACAATTATAGGTACAGGTTAATAACAACAGTTAAACTAAGTTTTGAAACCGTAGTAACAATTTCATAACTAATACAATGTTACCCATTCAATTTGCCAAAATTACTATGCCAATTTATTGCCAAAGGACAATAAAAACTGTCATATTAAGGATAATTTCTGTATCGTAGAATACAATTATTAGAAACAAGTCTTTAAAGATAGTAAATAAATGTTAGGCTTGTAGCTTAAATTTCTTGTCCAATATCAAGACAGTTACAGCCATTACCATTCATTTTTTTTTCTTTGTCTTTTAAAAAATTTATTTATTTATTTGTGCAGTACTGGGACTTCAACTCAGGGCTTACACATAAAGGTACTCCACCAGCCCCTTTTTTTGTAATGGGATTTTTCTTTTTTTAATTAATTAATTAATTTATTTATTTTTAGTTTTTATTTTTTTATTATTCACATGTGCATACAATGCTTGGGTCATTTCTCCCCCCTGCCCCTACCCCCTCCCTTACCACCCACTCCACCCCTCCCTCTCCTCCCCACTCCCTTGATACCCGACAGAAACTATTTTGCCCTTATCTCTAATTTTGTTGAAGAGAGTTATGAAAAACTAAAAAGCTCATGTAATTTCCTGAGTCAGTCTTTTTTTTTAATTGCTGTTTTGCTGGGGGTACATTGTGACATTTACAAAAGTTCTTAAAATATATCATAGTTGAATTCACCATCTCCATCATTCTTCTTTATCTCTCCTCCGATCCCCCATTCGTAGAATAGTTTTAACGGTCTCAGTTTTCCATTTACATACATGCACACACAATATTTGCACCATATTCACTTTCCTACACCCTTTCCTCACATCTTCCCCCTTCCACTGGTACCAACCCAATAGACAGGACCTGTTCTGCCCTCCTGTTCTCTGATCTTGTAGGGGAAAATAATGACATTTTGTTTGTTTAAGGTAGCTATACAGGGAGTTTCCTTGTGACATTTCCATGTATATATGTATTATAACCTGAATTGGTTTATCTCCTCTACTTTTCCTCTCTCTACCTTAGTCCCCTTCTTATGGTGATTTCAACAGGTTTAAAAATTCTGTATTTATACTTGTATAGGAAGTACATCAACCATATTCACCTTAACTTCCTTCTTTTATCTTCCCTTTCTTGTGAGTGACCTTCCCCTTAGTGTGACCTGTTTTTCATACTATTGCTTGTTTTTGCATTAGCAATACCGTTTTCATTAACTAAAAGTATTTAAGAATATGATCCTAAAATAGATATCTCTTAGTTAATTTTGAATAAAAGTGTATTATGAAAAAGATAAATCTAAGAGGTCAAATTACAGAATTTCTCTTGAAAAACTACTTTTATTCTTCATGCAACTAAAACTTATGAGAGAATTTCAACTATAAGTTATATGTACATATACTGTCTTTTTTAACCACACTGTAAAGAGTTTCTGAGTATCTAAAAGTATATTTTCAATTAAAACTGTTTCAGAAGATGCATTTAAAAAAAAGCTATCTCAAAGTGGAAAACTGACTGAGTTTTAAATACAACCTACAAAATTAATAGCAATATAATTGGATAACATTCCAAGCAAAGTACTAAATAAATTAACCAATGTATGCTATTCTAAAAAGACATTTTCCAAAAGACATTGGTGATTTTTCATTTTAAAAAAGAATGTTACATCTTTCAAGAAAACTGTATCTCTATAGTATGTATATTTATATAATATAATCATGATTACTGCAAAATAACTATACGAAAAACTTGGTATCTTACAATATTAATTCTATAAAAATATTTATTAACTGTAAATAAAAGGAAAAATAAAAACCACAAATATTAAAACTACTCCAATAATAATCAAACACATTCCTCCTGATGGGTATGTCATTAATACATATTATCCCAGGCATGAGGGGGTTAGGGGAGAAAGGAGCAGGATTCATAGTATAGTCAGAACATGGGGATGTAGATAAAACAGGATTAGTCAGATGAACCCTAAGGAAAAATGTTGAAGCTGGATAATGGGTATGTAGATGTTTTCTATTTTAGTAGATGTTTGCAGTCTCCCATAACAAAATTTTTGTGTATATATAAAAGCGAATATGCCAAATTTACTTTCAAGCAAAATTCATTGAATAATTCTTCCATAGAACCAACCATGAACATTCCATTTTATTATTTTATTACTTTTTATATTAGATTATCAGCATAATATTTCACACCTGACATATATATATACACACTATACCCTGCAATAAATATTGTATAATAACATTCATGAACATGTACATATATACCCGACAAGAATTTCACACCAAATGTCATTAAGGGAAAAGTCTGCAAACTTGATTTTAGCATGCAGGAAGTGAAAAGAAAATATTATCAAGTTAAGGGTATGGATTATATTTAGATACTGTGGAATAAATCCCTGACCTTATAGTTAAAAATTTCTTTAAGTTAAGAAATTGTTAAAGTTGTTACCCATACTAGTGCATATGGGAAATAGGGCAGGTACGTTCTGTCACCTTTAGCAAACATTTTCCTCACCAAGTTACTCAGAGGCCATCTGCTACACCCTGAAGCAACATCCTAGTTAGTTATTGATATTGACTTGCAATGTAAGTAATCAGGCTTATCACCTGTGGAAGTCATAACTACATGAACCTGAAATATGTCCTAATTTTACTTTAAATTAGATGTATTTCATTGCAGATGTGATCCATTTATGGAATAGTCATAAATGCTCTTATACTATACAATAGTTTTTTTAATTAATAAAGCTGGTGGTTTTCATAAAATAATCAGAAACAAAAATTTAAAACCCTTTCACCATTTAATAGGCATTAAGTCTCTACACAAACCAATGAATTTAGGTAACTTTCATAATTTATTACAATGTTTAAAATAATTTAAAACATACTACATACATATAAACATAATATTAAAATATTGATGAAAATAACTTCATACCAGTGAAAGAAATGAACATGCCCGTAATCTTTCACCAAGGTGAAATGATATTTATGAGTCAGAGCCTATATTTGATTCTTTTTTACTCTATTTAAGAGACTACAAATATAAATCCCATTGTGGTTGAAAAATTAAGCACCTGGTAGAATGTCCCCTGGCACTTATTTGAAACCTTTAAATGCTGACTAAAATATTTTTAAGTATATTTTTTTAAAC